CCCAGGCCGAGGGCGTCTCCAGGCGGGCTCTGGCTGCCAGGCGGGTGCGTGTGTGTGTGCAGAACCGCCGCGGCGGGCTGGGATTCGGGCAGAGTAGCGCCTCCCACCAGCGCCTAATGCTGGTTTCTTAATGCACACAAGATAAATAAATGATCCAAGCAAACCCCCGTTTGCCGGGGGTTGGCACAAACAGCTCCCTACCGATTGTGAGCCCGTCTCCTGTACGGATCCAGTGGGGTCAGAAACTGACGCTGCTGGGCGAGGGGCGGGGGCGGATGCTGGTGGGAGGGTGCCCGTGCCCTCCCTTGCCGGATGGCGGTGCGGCTAGATGGAAGGCCACCTTTGCCTGAGTTCCAGAGATGCAGGTGGAGCAGAAGACCTTTGTGTAATCAGACCTGTCAGATATCTCCAAGCCATTTATGTGAACTTGCCTTAAAATACTGTCTTTACGTGTAAATGTACGCACAGGTACACACGTTACGAGGCAAGTGTTTGTGAGAGGTAAATGTAAAACGATTTGGGGTTGGACTCCGAAATTCCGTTGCTGGTTTCTTCCCTTGGCTGGGGAGGCACCTGTGTACCTATTTCTCCAGCGCTGCGTGGTACCTGCCGAGGCAAAGGGCAAAGAGCTGGTGTTAGCATGATATATGCTGATAGTGCAAAACCTGGCTTGGCAACTCTCCCCAGATTTCCTGGCCTAAAGTGGAAACCGAAGAGGAGGGGTTTTTATTTACAAACGTTAAGAATATAAGGTTGAGAAAGGCAGCTTCCTAATACATTTTCCCAGCACTGTCTGATTGGTGTGGATGATGGAGCCCGCATTCTCTTGTCCTGTATAGTCTCCGAAAAGATGAAGTTTTCAAGGTATCCATTTTATTCACAGGTGGAGAGCCAAGCGTTACACTGAAGAGACTGCAGAGAGCAGAGGATGCATTGAAACAGGAAGCCCCTGGGGTTTGGTGCCTACCAGAGTACTTCGCACACACACGGTTAATAAATTATTTTTGATGGCAGTAATGCGGCTGTCACCTCTTTCAGCTATAACATTGAGACTTTCCCCATAGGAAAGCTTTTGATTTTTAGTTTGATGGAGCATGCCTTAATCTAGTAGTGCTGAATTATGGTTCCAAAAATTGCAAAAAGAAAAAAAAAAAAAAAGAAATTCTTTGAATCCAAATTCCTTTGGCTTTCCAATGTAAAGCACTGCCCTCTTAAGTAAAAACTGACCCAGCTCTACCTTCTGTGGGTGCTAGGACTCTACTTCCCAGCTAGGAATCTACTTGCCCAGCCTTTCTTGTGTAGCAAATAAAAGCTTTCCTGCAAAACTCTTCGGAATTATAGCAGGTGCTACTGTCAGCTATTTAAGACAGAAAATTACTTTTCCAAAGCACTGCTAGTTCATTACCCACCCCCACCACTGCCAGGATTCCTGTGGTCTCTCCCATTTTTTCTGCCTGGTAGAGTAAATCCAGTGTACAGAAAGGGATGCTATAATGCTGCAGCTGGGCAAATGTGGGCAAATGTTCCCTTTCCTGAAGCCACAGTCTGACAGCATTCACTCCATGTTCTCTCAATACTCCCTAATGCCTTCTTCATCTGCCTCTCCAAATTCCCTCTACTTCTCATTTCCACTTGGCTTTAACAGCTTATTCATGTATCCCTGTTGAGCTCATTTTGCCCCAGATCCCAAGCCACCGTACTCAGCTACCCATTGGTTGTTCTCACAGTGAACATCATCACTAGAGAGAGAGAGAGAAAAAAAAAATCAAAACATTGCTTTGATAGCCTTGTATTGGGGAACAGGTTGTACCACCCTATCCAAGAATGTTTGGCTGGTGCAACCATCATTAACTTGCAATTTTATCGGGAGGCTCCCTGGTAGCAGGTGGTAAGCACTGGCACTGGAAGTGAGAATGGGGAGGGGGCTGTCCACAGTTGTGTCAAGGACAAGTGGTGAACCTTCTCACTGCTAATAAGCAGCCAGTTCACCAGTCCCATAGTAGGGAGGAGCCTCGTTCTGGTGACTCACAGCTCACTGGAGCAGAACGCTGAAGAAGCAGCTTCAGGCTCAGACTCTAAAGATCGGGATTCAAGTTAGAGCTCTGCCACTTATAAGCAATAAAATCACTCTGGGCCACTGTTTTCTCAACTGTGAATTGGAGGTATAATGCCTACATCCTACGTAATTATATGAAATTGTATAGCTAAATGGACTATTCATCTATGGTACCATTTAAGCATTATCCTCGGATATCTTCCTGTGGAGATAATTATTCTAACAAATGGGTGTGGCATGCCTCAGCCTCTCCTGAGCTTCCCATCTGCCTGACTATAATTACCTGTAGATATCTCCTATGTGGTCTACGGACACACTAAACTTGGGATTTCTAATCATTGCCTAAAGCGTGACACAAATCAGCATTTCTATTGAAATGCAGTTTTCCCCTCAATGGCACCGATAACCCCAGGCTGAGAGTCTCAGTGCGGTCTCTGACTCCTTACCTCCCATTTCCCAAGTTCAATTAGTTGTCAAGTCGTTTACTTTCCACAGTATGATTGTCCAGGGCTTCCTCCATTGCAAAGTCTTTGGTAAAGGCTCATCTTTTGAAACCACAAGGCTGTAAATGACCTTAGTGGTCAAACACCTCTGATGTGTCATCTCATCACATGTCCCAGCTGTTGGGTTTCTTCTGGCTCTCTGGAGAAAGGCACTTCCTGGGGAAGACCACCCAGCCTGTCAGTGTACATAATTAGAAAAGTCTTTGTGTTGAGACAAAAGTCGGCCTTCCCATACATTCACTCTTTCTCCTTAGCTCATTCTTTATAGAAACCGTTTACAAATTAGGTACTAGGCACGGAGAATATAACAGAGAACACAGGTAAGGCTCCTACCTTCATGGAGCTTATATTTTAGAGAGACTAATGATGAACAAACACAGTAGATAAATTTTATAGTCTATCAAAAAATGAAAAGTACAGGTTTGGACCACCAAGAATATGCCTAGTTAGTGTAATTACAAAGGACATCTCTTCTCCAATCCAAGATCCTCAATCTGTTTCCCATCCCCACAAGGCCATGAGAACTTGACTCTCCTAGCAACATGACACCAGAGTGCTCTTTTATTCCCTGTGGGTTCCCTGGCTAGTGTACTCACTTTTGAAGCCAGTCTGGCCTGCAAAATCCTAATATTCTTCATGATGTTTACTGGAATCATGTCTAGAGGCAATGTGGCTCCCGAACACATTTCACAGAGTAAACATTTTGCAAAGCATGAATAAGGCTAACCTTCCATATGACTGCATATGTCCTTTTTCTCCCTTGGTCTAGTCCACTACTGTGATTATAATGATACACATTTTTTTAGTAATCATGGTGGCCTTTGTAAAATAAAAGTTGATTGTTTTCTTCATAAGTCTCAACCAGTAATCTTATTTCTTGGCGGTTCTTGATGCTGTATGTGTAGGACCAAAAATCCAAAAATCTGGAAAATCCCCACGTGGATCACGTTATTCATAACAGCTTGACTCCCAAGCATTTCTGCATTAAAACCAATATCATAAATAAATGAATAATAAAATACAAAAAGTATACAGAGCAAAATCTGAAAGTGGAAAGTGAAGAATTCCAGTTCTAACCATATGGAAGTCACAAAAAAGATGATTGTAACAATCTTCAAAGACTTAAGGTATTTGGAATGTTACCAAATTGCACTATCATAAATTAGAAAATGCTGACTACTGTATAACAGGATGTGGAATTAGAAGTTTTTAATAAGGCACTAAGGAAAAAAATAGATGTGAATTTTTAGTGGGAGTTTCCAGAAAACAATACCCAAATTTCAAAATAGGTTAACTATGAACTGGATAGGTAGCACAACAAAATG